TTGTGAAAAATCATGAGTTAAATTCCAACATTAAGTTAATAATGTGCATAATTTTTGACATGACTAATACTAAGAAAATATAATTATTGTTTTGTTCTATGTGTCACGAGTATGTTTGCCAGACACATGCGAAAGATTCCTGTCTACTGACAGTAATAATAAAATGTTTTCAAAAGAAACACTTTTCCTTCACAGGAAAAAGGCTTATTTTGTTCTCAAAGAAAGCTCCTTCTTATCAGCAAGCTATTAGAGCAAATCATCCTTTGATAATTTCAAAAACCCTGCTGTGGTGCTGTTAGACAATGTTTTTAGGGTACAACAATTCTAGATAATTAAAATGATTTTTGGTTAATTTAAAAGAAAGGGCTATGAATAACATTGTTTACTGATTTTTTTTTTAAATGCCATAATCTACAGGAAACATAAATGAAGCATTTTGGGTGTGGTCAAAATAGAACATTTGCATTCTCTGATCTCTTTATCATATTTCTAGTGTATCATAAGTAGATTAGTCCCCAGATAAGGACAGAGATACTTTAAGACAAGTAGAGAGAAATAAATTAAAACCACTGGCTAAAGTTTGTTACAAACCCTTTTGAGTCTAGGCAGTATCTTGGGGAAGTGATTCATATTTATGATGCCCAAATAGTCATCTGACAGAGGCATTGATGGTGCATTGGCGTCTAACATAGTTGGAATTTTGCCCCAGCTCTGCTACAAATTGGCTGTGACACCTTTAAAATCACTTTCGCACTCTGGCCCTCAGTTTCCTTATTTGTAACATGAGCAGGCTGGGCTGCATCAGGGATTCTTAATTTTTTTTGTGGCACAGACCCCTTTGACAATCTGATGAACCTTACTGTTTCCCTTCTCAGAACACTGTTTGTTGCCCACGTTTATAATTGAATGAAACACTGAATTTCATTTAGGGGCTAGTGAATATAAAGATGCAAAGGTTTTTGGTTTTGGTTTTGGTTTTTCCCATCCCCGTTCAAGGACCCACTAAAATCTGCCTACAGACTCCTTTGGGGGTCTGTGGACCCAAGGTTAAGAATCCCTGGGATGACCTCCCCATTGAAATGTAGGCTCATTGCAAGTAGGGGTTGGTTCATTCCTTGTACTAGAATCCACAATATGTAGTACAGTTCCTGGTGCACAGCAGGTGCTTAATGAATACATGTTGATTGATTTAAGTTCCCTTGCAGCTCTGACATTTGTTTGCATTTTGTTTCTACTTAAAACATTTTCTTTGACCTTGAATATCACACTGAGTAGGTCTTGCTGCCTAACCCTAGGACACAATCTGACCCTGATGCTCGTTTTCCTTGGCTGCAATTTAATGATCCTCATCCCATCTCCATCTCCTAACTCCCTAAAAAAGTATAAATAAAGAAAGGATGCTTTAGTTCCTTAAGAATCAGCTAGAATAATGGCCTGCTCAATAAAAGTTCATTAAACACAGGATTTAAAGTATGGCACTCCTCTTAGAATAAGTTTTCATTTTTCAAGTTTCCTCAGCTCAACTAGTAGCTCTTCTAATATTGTGAATGGGTAAATGGACTCATATTATAGACAGAATTACTCTGGTCACAGTCTAGAAATAAACTTGTTAGTTGTGTGGAACTCAGAATAAATTTTCCCGTAGCAATCATGTCATATCTCTTAGTTCAGTGCTCACTCAATCCTGTAAAAAAATCAATCTATAATGTATTTGAAATATATATATTTATATGCTTATATACATATATGTATTTATCTATATCTATCTATTTATTATATATTTATTTATGGATCCATCCATCCATTTACCCTTGTATAAGCTGTGCATGTGCACATGCACACACAAACACAATTTATCAGACTCATGACTTCATTGCTATAGAGAAACATTCTCTGCTGGATACAGATCTATAAATAACTTATAACATACAGTCTTAGAGAATGGCCTGTGGCCCTACATATAATACTTTATTAAAAGAATGTTTAACTGAAGTAAATTGAATTGGTTCTCCCTTAAATGTTCCAATGCTAAATCATGGTGTGGAGTTGACCCAGAGTTGTCAGAGACAAGGACAAGAGAGCCCAAGCTCTAGCCATTCCTACCAAACTCAAAAAAGTTCAGCCACGGCTTATGATAGATAAACTACATTGTCTGTCTTTCATCAGAGGACCAGCCTAGCCAAGTTCAAAAAAAGGTTATCATTATATTGGTGACAGGGTGGTGAACTCTGAGATCACAGCAACTCTGGAAGGCGGTCTGTTAAATGGTAAAGGCCTTGTGATCTGCCTAGAAAATGGATTTTTATAATACAATAGAACCTACTACTGGTTATCTGGAATACAGCATCCCCAAAAGCCTTGGTGCTGTCTTAAGGTATTAAAGCTTAATGAGGAAACAGAGATGAGGAAACTTTTTTTCTTCCATGTTTTGCTCCCCTTCCTGCTCCCCCCTCCCCCCCTGCCCCCTCCCTGTCCCTTTCTAATTTTTGTTGAAATCCTGTAGGAAGATCCAAGGTTCATGATGGTGATAATTTTGAGTCATCGGTATATATAGATTGTAAACACATGAACATTTCGAAGAAAAACTAGATGGGGGTGACAGACTTCCCCCCCCCCCCCGCATGAAATAGAATAGTAACAAAACCCTGAGAAGGGGAGTGAGCTGAGGTTGGGCAACAGCACTAACACCAAGTGTGTATGTTGGGTTGAAAGAGAGGGGAGGAGCAAGGCGAGATGACTTTTTTTCTCCTCTTCCCTCCTCTTTATAGAACCAAAAGAACAGAGCTGGAAAGAACTTTAAAATCATGGAGTTGAACCCCTTCATTTGAGAGATGAAACTGGCACCCTGAGAAATTCAGTGACTTGTGTTTCCTTTCTTGCTGCTTCTAGGCCAAATGGTGCTTATGAAGTAGGCCTACCTTGGAGCAAGATAAAAGCCAAAATGGAAAGTGTTTATGAGGAAAGAAAGGGAGGAGGTCATGGGGCTAGAGTATGAGACAGCAGCAGGCTGTGAGGGAAGGAGAGGGAAATCCCATACGGTAATAGCAAAGTCACTTCGTTTCTGAGCTTTCAGTTTCTTCATTTGTAAAATTGGAGAGGAAAGGTGAAGTGGGCAGTACAGAGATTCATGAACTCAATGGCCTTTAATGTCTCTTTCAAATAAAAAAATCTCGTTATCCTAACTGAGAGAGAAGGGGAGCTTCTATGACCAGCATACCATCTAATTTAGGCGGTCCTTTTCATATATAAGGGATATTTGTAAGTCAAGCATTGCATGTATAATATTTTTAGATAAATCAAAATAGAACTTTTAGTAAATAATTAAAAGACTGCAGGGAAGATAAATAAGGACCAGACACATTTAAAAAACTCTTTTATTAAATTATGTATAACTTAATATTGAATTATATAACTAAATTTTATTAACTTGTTTGTAATCAATTAATTTCAGTACGTAAAAAACCATAATTTTTCATTCACTCTTTCTAACCCTCTCTCATGATTCTTTGTCTCTTCATTCTCATTTACATTTACTCTTGTCAGAGCCCCATATATTTTTATAACCAAACAAAATATTTGTTTTATGAATCAAATCCCTATTGATTCATATGTAGGACAAGTGTTTTAAACATAAACTAAAAATACTTAGCATCTGTCATTAGTAACCTAGAGTAGGAGATTACTCATCATAAAATGGTCTCTTCCATCTGTCTTCCACCACATGGTTTTTCAGAAAACATAACAGGTTCACATTTTGTCTATCAATACCATTTTTTAATTTCTTAGATAAATTTTTAAAAATAAATCTAAAATTTAAAGATACAATTGAATGTATAGTCATTTTACAAAATGTCTATACATTTATATAATTATATATTTATATATACATATATATTCATTCATAAAATTCTATTTATAAAAGGTTTCAGTCATTCAGTTATTTCTGATTCTTCACGATCCCATGGACCATACTGTCCATGGAGTTTTTTTTGGCAATGATACTGGAATGGTTTGCCATTTCCTTGTCCAATAAAATGTATAGCATTTTATAAACCATTTTGGTGTGGAAAATCCATAAATCAATAACCATTATGTTAAATCTGTTACAGTCTTGGTTATGTCCAACTACTGAGTCAACAAGCATTTATTGAAAGCTCTGTGCCAGGCCCTATGCTAAGCTCTAGGGATACAAAGAAAAGCAGAGACATAGCCCTTTCCCTTAAGAAGTTCACATTCTAATGTGGGAGACAATATGCAAACAACTATATACATATAAGAGATATACTAAGTAGATGTTTTAAAAGTGAAACATCTCCAACACTCTCAGAACCTAAGCACTGGGGAGGGGAAGGATACCAAGAGGGATCTCCTAAAGAAGGTGGGATTTGATGTAAGTCTTGAAGGAAGCCAGAGAACCCAGGAGGTGCAGGTGAGGAGCTATAGCTTTTCAGGTATGAGTGACAGGAAGTGAAAAGGCAAGGAATCAGGAGATGAATTGTTCATTGATGATTAAAAATGCATCATGGCTTAGTTGATAGAAGGCCAGACTTAAAGTCAGAAAGACCTGGTTTTAAGCTCTGCCTTTAATAAATGGGGAAGTCACTCAGTCCCTGTAAGTGGCCCAGTTGACTGTGATTATAATTTATAGGTTAGTCGATGATCTGCGTTAGTGTAGTGAATTTCCATACTAGGAATTCACCACTAATAAGATCATAGGTCTAGACCTAACCCCCATCCCCCAAAAATGTAGACAGAAAAAAAAATGGAATAGAGAAATTTAAGCAATAATGTTTCAAATGTCCCAGCTTAGTCACTAATAAATGGTGGTACCACCACTCTCCCCACTTAAAATAGGCCCTGTAGGTTTCAAGATTTTCTTTTGTAAGATGGGTTTAAAAAAGGAGCCAGTTCTTATATTTCACTGAAGAACTGCAGAAGAGGACCAGGCTGATAAGTTTTTGACCTTAACACAGCTTTCTATGCTTACACTCTTGCTACAGAACTTTTACAAAACTGAGTTGAACAAAGAAGAGATGTATATACGCTACATTCATAAACTCTACGATCTGCATCTGAAAGCACAAAATTTCACAGGTAACTTTACCATTTGGGGTTTGGGGGAAGTATTGGAGATTGTTTCATTAAGGATGACAAACACCTACGTTCACTTTCACTTTTAAAAATTGTTTTTATTTATTTTGTTAAATTTTTACTAATTACGTGTAAAAAAATTTTAACATTCATTGTTTAAAAATTTGAACTCTAAATTCTTTCCCTCCAGCCTGCCACTCCCCCACACCTTGAGAAGGCAAGCAATATGATATTGGTTATATCTGTGAAGTCATGCAGTACATTCACTTTCTTAATCCAAAGTCAGGACTTGGGATTTCAAAGTAGCATGGCTACCTGGAGATTGTAATTTATAGTATATGCAGTACATGACCTAGTAAATATTGGTTCACAGCATCAGTATGATAAGGGGCCCTATCAATTGTAGGTATGGCTATTTTGCAGTATTTAAAAGAGTGAAGGCACTCTTTCTACCTTTCGGAAATTATTGCTTTTATTCACAAAATTTCAACTTACTGCTCTTAGCTAAAATCAGCTGGTTTAGCTATATATTTCATTGATGCTCTTTATTTCACACAAACAAATGCAGTTTTTGTCACAGCTTAGATATTCCTCACATATTCATTCCGGGGCCTTGTACCTAGTTTAAATGCCTTTTTGTTTTAAAAGTGAAAAATCTCGAACGCTCTCAGAACTGAAGCATTGTTAACACTCAGAAGAGCCTTTTCCCTTGTGATGTGCTTCTCTCAATTTAAGATTATTTCTGACTTGGTAAGGAAGCCTCAGTAAGAGTGCGCTTACACACAAACAGTAAAAATGAGTGTAAAGATGCTTTGGGAGAACTTCTGGCAGTCATCATAAACCCAGCTATTAGAATGTAGAAATGATTGACCAGGTGCAAGTAAGAGGTAGAAGGGAAGGTTTACTTAACTTGTAAGGATGAAGTTGTCAAGCAGAAGGCAGGCAAGGACGGATGCTGATAGTTCTGGCTGAGTGTCTGTTCCTTCTTCTTCTCCCCAGGGGATATCTCTGACAAGCACCAGATCTGGACCTCCAGGAATGAGGAGGCACCATTTCACCCTGAGCTTTTTAATATGCTTATGAGGATGTCAGGGGTCAGCGATAGCACCCCTGCAAAGTCTTCCATTATGCATAAAACAAAGCCACTTTTATTCTCTGACTGCCTCCTTATCAGAAGCTATCAGCCCTCGAATATTCCTATGTGGCATGAAATCTTCCATTACAGTGGAATGTAGCTCCCTCCCTCCATTACAGTGCATCTAGGCCTAGGCAGAGCCTACTACTCAGAAACTGTTTTGATGGATAGGCTGATGAATCTCACAATTTCTCCACCTTCTCAACTCCAGCAGCCTCCATGTCTGCCCTAATTCAGACACATGCAGGCATGGTCATTCTATAGAATTTCAGTTGTAATCATACCATCTCCCAAAATCACTAACTCTGAGATTCTCCTCTCCACCTGTAATCATCCCAGTTCACAAGAATCCTGCTCCCACTCTCACCATGACCTCCTTTCCTCGACCCCTCCCTCTTCCCCTAGTCATCTCTCACTCTCAATTTCACTTGCCTCAATACCCACTCTTGTCCATATCTGTGGTTAACCATTTTAGTGATTTGCTAGCAGCTACCCTTAAAATCCTTTGCCTCACTTGACCTTTTGCCATTCCCAAACTGCCAATACTCAACCAAGAATAAGGCCTACCACATGATTTCTTTGCTTTCCCAAGGCCATTAAGTTTCCCTAGCAAAGACAAAAAATTATGTTGCCAACCCACTGCAAATTTATGCTACATAACCTTAGCTGGGCTTTCGCCGGTTGGCAGTCCATTCAACATTGATTGATTCTCTGTCTCATTCTCCAAAGTGACTGTTTTATACCTTTTCCTCTCTCCCCGTAGCTCCCTATTCTCCCACCACAGAGAGTAAATGACCTAGGGTCCTGCCTCCTCCTGCATGAAGTGTAGTACTGGAGTCTAGAAGAAATATTAGGAATGGATTTTGGAGCAAGCTATATGGTAATGCTACTTGGGAGCATATGAAAATAACAAAAGAGAGAGCCTAGAATCAAGCCTTGAAAAACATCCACATTCATGGTACAGGAGATTGAAGATGAAATGGCAAAGGAGGCAGTTAGAAAAATAGAGAAGAAATAGGAGACAGTTTCACAGAATCTAAGAGATGGGGATGGGGGTCGAGAAAGAATGTGGAAGGGAGGGGAGGTCAAGTAGGATGAGAACTGAGAAAAAGCCATTGGCTTTATCAGTTAAGAGACTGTAGTTATCTTCCAGGAAGCAGCCTCAGTAGAGTGATAGGTCTGGAAGCTAGGTAATATGATATGAATGATATAAGTGAAAAGTGAGGAACTGGAGACAGCAAGTGTAGATGACTTCTAGTCATCTGGAGATTTAGGTTAACAACTTGGGGGGAGTGACAGAATCAGTAATGGATATTTTTAAATGAGGAGAGTTGGGCACATTGAAAGGTATCAGGAGATAAATCTGTAGATCAGTCAATCAACAAGAATTCTTTAAGAGTCTACTATGTACCAGGGACTGTGCTAGGCAGTGGGCATAGGGAGAGAATGAATGGGACAAGTTGCTGGGGCCATCCTTGATTTTTCACAGTAAAATAGAGGAGGAGATCCTCTATTGGGAGGGAGGGAGATGAATTACTAGAAGAAACACAAAAAGAAGAAAAGGCTTGGGATCCATTTAAGAGAACGTGGGAGAGAATTAGTCAATAAAAGGATTATAATGAAATTATATTATATGCCCAGTCAAGATCACTTAATGTGAAATTGTGGGCTGAGTCTATAGGTCATTATTCCTTCCACGAGTGGCATGAGAACAGTGTTGGAAAGGTGGGTCACAGAGATAACACGGGCTTGAGGTTCCATAAGGTATGAGCAGCATTAAGACAAGGGATAGGGGGAAAGATAAAAGGGTAGAAAACAGTATAGAGTTGAACTGTTAAACTCTAAGGTC